CACACACACACACACACACACACACACACACACACACACACACACACACACACACACACAGACTCAAGCTGTGACATGTTTCTTCCTTCAGGTCCGAACGACAGGAAACCCACTGAGTTCCTGCTCATCGATGGACAAAAATATGCTGTTGTTGGGTAGGTACTCACACATGTAATGAAGTTTAAGTCTTAACAAAATATAAAACGTTTGTGAGTCTTCATCTGAGTGTCGTCTTCTGTTCCTTCAGGACGGTTCTGCTGCTGATCCGGATCTTTCTGGAATACTGTCAGTGTGTCAACGACATCCCATCCATCGCCACCGACATGCTGACGCGTCTGTCCGACCTCCTCAAGGTCTCAGCCCGCACCAGTGTTTGGTTTTAGTCAGATTGAAAATGATCAAATAAGACAATAGATATTTTTACGTAAAACCAGAAATAAGAAATTGAATCAAAAACTCCAGAAGATCAAAATAAAACCTTCTTCTCTTTGTTTCTGCAGCACTTTAACTCTCGGAGCTGCCAGCTGGTTCTGGGAGCCGGAGCGCTGCAGGTCGTCGGCCTCAAGACCATCACAACGAAAAACCTGGGTACGTAACTTCAACTGCTCACGAGTTCAGTCTGATGAACTCGGCTGTATCATACTCACTGTGTGTGTGTGTGTGTGTGTGCGTGTGCGTGTGCGTGTGCGCAGCGTTAGCTTCCCGCTGCCTGCAGCTCGTGGTTCTCTACATTCCCATCATCAAAACTCACTTCAAGACCAAACTGCAGCCGAAACAGTTCAGCGTCCTCAGACACTTCGACCACATCACCAAGGTAACGCACTGAAGCACAACGTTACCCACCGGGGGAGGGGGGCGGGGGGGTGTCGAGCTTTTTTAATTCTCATAATTCTGTTTTTTTTATTTTCAGGACTACAACGATCACATCTCAGAGATCTCAGCCAAACTGGTGGCCATCATGGACAGTCTGTTTGAGAAGGTTTTATCAAAGGTCAGAGACACACGCTGAACTTTGACCTGTTGTTTTAACGAATGTCTCCACACCGGAGACGTCTGTCCGTCTGTCCGTCTGTGTGAAATTCAGTTGGACTCAAAGATGAACCGATCGTAACTTTAGAGGTCAAAGGTCACTGTCATCATATTAATGATATCGTCTGTTATCTCCGTATCAACTCTGATAAACTGTGAGACCTCAGCGAGATGATGACAATGAAGATGATGTTGTTTCCTCAGTATGAAGTCAAAGCTCCGATGCCCTCAGCCTGTTTCAGAAACGTCTGTAAACAGATGGCGAAGATGCACGAAGCCATTTCTGAGCTTCTACCTGAAGAACAGACTCAGGTGAGTGTGGATCAAAGAGAGGAGAGCTGTGGGGGGTGTTCTGGTTTCATTGGTGTTTGTTTCCTGTACAGATGTTGTTCCTGAGGATAAATGCCGGTTTTAAAATGCACCTGAAGAGACAACTGTCTCGACTCGGGGTCATTAATGATGGAGGACCGCAGCACGGGTGACTGACACACACACACACACACACACACACACACACACACACACACGAGAACATAAATGGTTGAAAAACTAATTTTGTGATTCAAAACATTTTCGGTGGAACACTTTCCCTGCGTCTGTTTGAAAGATGTCACCTGTTGCAGGTTGGTGGTCGTGGATGTCGCCTTCTACACGGAGAACATTCAGGTGCTGAAGAGCCTCGAGCGGCTCGACCTGAACATGGCCGAGATCTGGGAGCAGAAGAGGTGATGGGACGATGGCGACGTCCAGGATCCAACCCGCTACCCCACCGACTCGGTTGACGGAGGGCCAACCCCCGGGAGTCGACAGCGGCCGGTTGAGGGTGGAGGAGGAGCCGGAGGTCCGCAGGGACCACAAACACAAAACTGGAGAAGGAGCGCAGCGACACGTCGGAGCCTCCTTAACAGCTCCACCTTAAAAAGCTAAATCAAATATCACACAGAGCCTCCTTAAGATCCGCTGCCGCCTCATCTCACTGTAAATCAACTGAACACTAGTAAATTATTAGAGACGGTTTCAGGAGGAGAAATGGAGGGTAATTTATTTTTTGAAAACATTCAATACTGGGGCAGTTTTTCTCCAGCGAGCTGCGACGCTGGAGCTGAAGGGAATTTTAACATTTCATCGTATTCTGGGCTCGAGGGAATGGACCAACCTCAAAGAGTCAACAGGGTTCTCCAGACGTTCTCCAGACGTTCTCCAGACGTTCTCCAGACGTTCTCCAGACAACAGGTGCTGTGGTGAAAACCTGCGGATGTAAAAGATTCTTTCATTTTTATACTTGAGACAAATTATTTTCTGGACTTTGTGTCTTGAGGTCTGAAGGAAGCTGAATGGAGTTTAATGAAAAGGTGAAATTAAAGAATTAAATTCAGATCAACGAGATTCAAACTGTGAAAGAATCAAAACTCTCAGCTACTTCCTGTCATTACCAAAGTAAAATGGATTTTAATTTGGGAATTTAACTCTTTGATTTCATTTTTTCCTCTTTAAACAAATCTGACGAGATGATTCAGAGACGGTGAAGTTTTTTTTATAATTGTAGAAGAACGTGAAGCATGAATCTCAGCTGTCGACTCAAACTACTGTTGATCTTCTCCCTCCTACTTTTATTGAACCTGCATGAGCTTTTTGTTTCCTCAAACCACAGAGCGGAACAGAAAATCAGGTTTTATTGTCTAAACTGAATTTCCTTCTGGAAGTCTGAAGATCAAAACTGCACAAGATGAAACTTTTATGATTAAAATTGCAGCAATAAATTCAAACGTGTCCGTGAACGTGAGGATAAATGAGCCTTCTTTTACATCTGAGCTCATTTAAATGTGAGCGAACGCTAATCGTCACGATTCATTCTCAACCTGTCAAATCATGGTTTTGTTTTTATTTCCCTCGGCGGCGCCCTCTGTGGTCACACACAGGAACGCAGCCAGATGACAAGATTAGTGGGGAACATAAATAATGAAGAATCCGATTTTCTGTTCCTGAGTGAAGTTTGAGCTCAAACCAAAAGTCTGTAGCGCTGCGGCCTCATCACGACTTTATAGAGACGTTAATGATCCTTTTGTCATGTGACGACTTGAACGTGAAGAAATGTGGTCGCTGTGGGCTCCTGTAGCTGCTCAGATGACTCCTGTGTGTGTGTGTGTGTGTGTGTGTGTATATAAACACATAACACACACATCTCGTGGGAGTGAATGTTGTGATGAAGCCGCAGGTTCAGACTGAAGCTGAGAAACAAAAAGCATCAAATGTTCAGAAGTGCCTCCTGTCTGAGCTCCTCACTACAGTGTGCCTACCATACCACTGTGTCTGTCTGTCTGTCTGTCTGTCTGTCTGTCTGTCTGTGTGTGTCTGTCTGTCTGTGTTTGTGTGTCTGTCTGTCTGTGTGTGTGTGTGTGTGGCAGCACGTCTGAGAACCCAAATGTCTTGAATAAAACAGGTAATGGAGCCACTTTGTTCTTCAGTTTGTTTCTGCTGCAGATTCTCAGTCATTCGTTTGATTCATCGTAAATAAAACAGAAATCAAACAGAAATATCTCTGATACGAACGCTGCCATCTTGTGGCGATGACGTCTGCGGTCAGTCTGTGGGGTAGTGATGGTGAAGTGGAGCCTTGGTATCGAGGTCCCGCCCACACACGCTCTCCTGAGTCAGAGTCAGCTGTCAATCATGACGTCTGCTGTTTTTATATCATCAATAACTGATCAAACCAAACTGATGAGAAACTCTTGAACAAACATCGGTGAGAGAAGAACGAGCTGAAGTGACAGAAACATCTTTGACAAACATTGGTTTGGTCAGTTGACCATCTGCTAACATGGAGGAGATCTCACGTCGTCCATCTTGGACGGACGTGTCTGTTGTCGAGCCGCGTCATCAGATCTCATATCTCCAGCAACACTTCAATTCAAACACACTCGTAAATATCAGTCTCCAAGTGTGAGAGTGAAATCATCAAGATCATGAATTATTCTGAGGAAGATTTGATCCTCACTGAAAGTTGACGGGTTCTTCTCTGACCCATTAATCCACCAAGTGTCACGGAAACGTGTCCGGTGGTTAATAATGAATGAACGGAACATTGGGAGGTGATCATCTGTCCTGAACTCGTTAACTGACGGGCGGAGTAATGCCTGTGATGATGCGTCGGCGCCGCGCAGCAGGAAGAAACTCTCACAGTTTCCTGCTCCGACCTTTCCTCTGACCTCACCTCCTTCCTCCTGCTTCCTCCCATTCTTCTCCTCTTCATGGAAAAGGAAAGTGGAACACGAGGAGCAGCTCCAGGTGAAGCTTCGTTCATCGGCTGCAGACCTGGTGAGAAACGTTTGTCTCATAGACGTTTGATGTTTTACAGTTTCTCTGCCGACTCGAATGAAACTAAGAGACGATAAATCAGTTGTTGTTCTCTTCAGTTACACTCAGAACCAAACACACGTCTCCTGGTGAAACGACGGGATTTTATAAAACCCACAGCGACAGTTCGTTGTGATAGATTCTTAGTTTGAAGTTTAACTTCTGTCCTCGTCTACAGTGAAACTCCCACGTTGGCATAAAAACTAATTTTGTTGACAGTGCGTTGATTTATGAACCAAATGATTGGTCCATGTCCCACCTGCTAACTTGGAGGAGGCGGAGTTTGTGACCTATACGTAAGCAGGTCACCAGGGGGCGATCGGTGTCATCAGCCCATGTGGGACGTGGGCCGGTTGTTACGTAGGAAACTTAAGATATTAAAAATCCTCTTTATTTTATATTGTAGCTTCCATCTGAAATTCCGTGACTCTAAAGGTTCAGTGTGTAGAATTCAGTGACATCTAGTGGTGAAGTGTCATGTTGCAGCTGAACACCCCTCCCCTCCCCCTCTCCTTCCAAACATGAAGAAGAACCTGTGGCAGCTTCAGTCGTCATAAAAACTCAAAAGATGTTTAGTTTGTTCAGTCTGGACTAATGTAAACAACATGGCGGCCTCCGTAGAGAGGGTCCCCTCCATGTAAATATAAAGTATTTAAATATAAAGGATTTAAATATAAAGGATTTCGATATAAGGGTTAGTAGATCCTTTCACCTGAATCTTTCACACTGGACCTTTAACGCATTTCAGTGTTTCTATCCGTCACTCAAACCTGTGTCTCTGGTCTCATGTTGTAAACCTGCGTGAAAACACTGTGAACAAACGAGGTTTGACGTCAGGTCAAGTTCAGAATGAGTCGACACAGAAAGTCAGCTGTTCACACACATTGAAAATAAGAAGAGAAATGAACCTGAGGAGGATTTAATGTCTGAACAATGAGGGCTCTGTGTGTGTGTGTGTGTGTGTGTGTGTGTGTAAACGTCCACAAACTGGTTGTGCAGCTGGTTTCTCTTCTCTCACCAGATCAACATGACTGAAGCACACAGAGCGACAGGACCGAGCAGGAGGGTGAATATTCTTAAAGTTCAATTCATAAAGTTGTTTTTCTGTTTCTTACAAATTTATTTCCTGAGATTGAGTTTAAAAGAACGGAAACAACAGGAAAGACTCTAACTTGTATCTGTTTGAAAACGTGTAATGTTCTTTTCCTGACCTCTTCAGGGAAAGCTTCTGATTCTTCTGAACATTTCTCCTCGAATCCTCTGAGATGCTTTTTGATTTCTGTTTGAATCAGCTGCTTTTATTTTGAAGGGACACCTGAACTCAGACTGAGACAGCACGTGAGGGTCACACGGTCTGAACCATGTGACCATTGACGTCACCGTGTTGCTTTCATGCCACCGAAACACAAAAACTTAATTTTAAAATTCTCACACAGAGAAAATCTTCTTTATT